GATCACAGCCATAGGACGCTTGGTCCATCCTTGGCGTGGAAATACGCTCGTGCGTTTTCACACGCACAGAGGCGTTTTGCACGTGTGTTTTCACACGAGCAAAACACCTCTGTTCGTGTGAAAACGCACGAGCAGAGCTATAATTTTTTTTTTTTTTAATTTTTTTTTTTTTAAATTTGTTAATAATTCAAATTAAAATATAATTTCGTTCGATACAAAATAATTATAATCCGTACAAATAACTAAATAAGTAAGTCCGATAACAACGTAAACAAAATACGGGCAAATAAGAAACATCCGCAAATCCAAAACGAAACATCCGTACAAAAAACTAAATCCGAAAACAAACAACAAATCACAACACACGAATACCAATCCGTACAAAAAACTAAATCCGAAAACAAACAACAAATCACAACACACGAATACCAATCCGTACAAAAAACTAAATCCGAAAACAAATAACATGTCCTACTGTCCACTCCTCGACCCCCGACCCCGAGTCCTCGGACCTCCCCCGCGACCTCTCCTAGGTAAGAGACGCAAATAGTGGGCATGTGGCGTCAACAAGTCCCTCAACTGCGGCTGAATGCTCAGGAATGCCTCTGCTGCGTCGTCACCAGTCGAACCGAACACGATCGGAACTAGGAGCCGAGCTATATCGTTGGCGAACGGCTGGTCTGGCGGCACCGCAGCAACAACCCGTTCTGCAGGCGGAACTCTATCAGGGTTGTTAATGAACCGGTGCGTCCGCTCGATGTACCACTTCATGTACTCCTCGGCAACTGTTTCCGGCGGCCAGGCTTCAGGGTATTGCGACAGGTCAATGAAGTTGGCGTACTCGTTCTGCCACATGCCGCCAGGAGCGTGGAAAGTGACTTTGTATCCCGCGCCAAACAAGCCGCGGTTATGTGGCAAGTTCGATTCAATTATCGGGAAAGGAATAGTCTGGACTCTTCCAAACTGCCGCAACGCTCGGTCGGGCATGTACGGCTCCACTATATCCATGAACTGTATCGTGCCGTAATACATGCTCCGAGGGTGTAAGTAATGTGCACCGGTACCATACGGGGTCCAACAAACCTAAGCATATTTTAAACTAATTAGAAAAATCCGTAATTCTACTATAGACATAATTAGAAAAAGTATTACTCACATCTCTTTCGGTCATGGCGTCGAGTATTTTCCGGTATTCCTGCTGGTCCGTCCAGCCGCAACCCCAGGATGAAAGCGACATCGTGGAGCGTGATCGTCATCTCGCCCCATGGCATGTGGAAACTGTTCGTCTCCGGCTGCCACCTCTCTACGAAAGCTAGCATGAGGTTCTTGTTCATCCTCTTCAGAAAACAGTCTCGTAAGTGGTAAAGACCTGTTGCCTCCAGCCTCGCAATCATCGTGCTATCCTGCGGGCCGCGGTAGTCCTCCAGTGCTTTGGTCCTCGACTCGCACCGTGTAGTTTCACGGCGCTCCTGAAAAATATTGCATGTATTGTTAGCTAAAAAAAATGAATAATATAAGAATTATGTAAAGCACGTGTTGACAGAAAAACTTACATATCCTTCCCAAATGTAAATCGCTATATGCGACTTGAACCATCGCATAAACTCTAAATTTTGCGGCCCTCCCTCGCACGGACCCTCCAAGTACGCCGGACCAGGCAGCTGCGGAAAGGGTAAGGCACGACCAGCTCTACGATCCTGATGTACATCTGCTGCGTCATCATCTTCCTCAACCTCCTCGTCAGTATCCATATTATCTGGATTGTTGTTGTGGTCATCATCGTCGTCGGCATGTGGCAATGTACTACGAGCTAGCTGGAGATCGCGTGTAGGTCGACAGGGTCCGGCTCCAGCTGCAACAGCTTCTCGTCTCAATCTCTCTTCTTCCCGCTGTAACGCTGCTTCTCGAGCCAACTGTTTTCTTCTACGGGCGGAAGCAAGGACATCTCGGTCTCCAATGCGATCCGGATCTTCCGGATTGTCACCCTTCCCGCTCAAGGCTTTCATTAAGCTCTTGCCTTTACCGGCAACTTGACTCATAAGACTTTTCCCCCGGCCTCCTGCCATCTACATTTTAAATAAGCACTTTATTAATATTTCATTTAATAACAAGTTTTTTAAGAATTAAATTTATTAAAAAAAAAAAAAAAAAAAAAAAAATTAAACATTCATACGCTCGCCCGATTTTACGCGAGCGAAGTGGAACCGCTCGCGTAAAATCGTGCGAGCGTTCCCCCGTATCGATTTTTTTCGTTTTTTTTCGGATTCGTAATCTACATAACAAGAGGATCGTAAAAACGTAAAAATTACCTCCGATCTGTTGACGATTTGCACGGGCTTTGCGAAAGAAAATCGAAAGGGTAGAGAGAGTTTTTTGAGTTTTTTACATTTTGGTTTTTGAGAAATGGTAAAAAATGTGCATGAATGTTTAATTTGTGCCTGCACAAATCATTTCAGCAAAGTAAAAACATGTTCCATATACATATGTATTGTAGCTGTAAGTACAAAAAGAAATATATAAGGGACTAACCTGTCATAAAATGAAAATCCAAGGGCTTCTGCCAAAACCTTTCCTACTGTTGTTTTTCCAGATCCCATCATTCCTTCCAAAAAGAAAAAAAAAATTGACCATAAGTATGTATACATACATACATGTGTGTGTGTATGTATACATATGTATGTATGTATGTATATATGGTCAACTCACCAACAAGATGTATACAATGCACATTTAGATCAGATGGATCAATCTCTTCTAATTTATTTTGCAATGCATAGATCAAAAGCTGATTTACTGTAAGACGTCGTAGATTTTGTTAGAGATGTAAGTATTAAATGAATGTCGTACGAATAGTACTTACGTTTACAATTTGTGATTCATCAAATGCAGCTGGAACACTTTCAGGTTCCACAGAAGCTTTGGGGGAGAGAGTATTATTCAGTTTAACACAGTAATATTGTTATATTAATCTCTAGCACAGTAATATTAACACAACAAAATTCATTATTATTGTGTAATAGAGTAATATTAATATGTTGACCGTTCAACAAAGGTAAACATAATAAAAAGCCAAAATAATTAATATTATTGTGAGTGACGGTAATATTATTATAACCACAATAATATTACCGTTAATCACAGTAATATTATTGTGTTTACAGTAATATTACAATAATAGATAGTAATATTATTACGTTACTCCGTGAATAACTCAAACAAAACAAAAAAACCCAAAAAAAATAATAATATTGATGTGGTTGACAGTAATATTATTGTGTTTACAGTTATTTTACTGTCAACAAAAGTAATATAATTAGGTTTCAACAACAATAATATAATTACGTTGACTTGTCAACAAATCAAACAAAATTTAAAAAAAAATAACAAAAAATAAATAATAATATTATCGTTGACTATAATTGTACTTTCAACGGCATAAATATTACATAAATGTATTGTCAACGACAGTACAATTACGTTAATGTACTGTCACTGGCAATATAATTACGCTAATTTACTGTCAGTGACAGTATAATTACCGCTAATGATAGCACAATTACGGTCAACGTTTAGCGGCGGACGTAAAAAAAAAAAAAATCAACGCCGGAAACCTGTGGCGGGAAAATCAGAAAGAAAAAAATAAAATAAATAAAATAAAAATTTGAATCCGGCAAATAAAATAAAAATTTGCATTTTCATTTTGGACTAACGGTACGAAATTTGATGTTACAAATAAATATTTAAATTTTAATGCACATATTTGACGAATTAAAATAATTTAATCCACTATATGCAAAAAAGTATACTATCTAAATATTACTTTTTTTAATTTAAATATTCAACGAGTAAATAATTTTCAATCCAAGATTTGAATTTTTGTTTTTACTATCTTAAATATTATTTATGTAATTTATTCATAATACATGTATTATTTTTAAATAAAAATAAAGTATAATTTATTAAATATTAATAAAAATATATTAAATTTTGTTTTACTACTAACACCGCTAAAAATCAAATAGGTTAACCATTAAATGAAAGGAATAAGCGTTACACTGTGTACAAGGGAATCAAATAGGTTAACCATTAAATGAATGGAATAAGCGTTACACATAAAGAGGAGTACAAGGGGTAAAGTGTATTTTACCCTATAATTAAATTGAAATTAATTTTTTTTTGATAATTAAATTGAAATTAATTTGCATCGGGAGTACAAGGACGTCGATTTTGTCGGAAACTTTTAGGGACCTTTAGGCCAGATCTCCAAGTGTTTGTATTTTCTTTAAATCGCACAAGTTGGTTGACAAATATCTTTACCATTTAAAGGCTCAAAAGGAACGTTCGAAAAAAAACATTTTAGCCGCTTTTCAGGCGGAGGACAACTGACAACTTATGCGCGGCATCTTCAAATCTGGGGCTATAAGAGATTCAATTTCCCGGGGCAAACTATCAAGCATCGATCTTGAAAATCTTACGATTGAACAACATTTCCAAC